AGTTGATAAACCGTCCACAAGTTTTTGGCCAAAAACATTTTTAACTATATCCCAAACTTAAACTACATCTTTAAAGTATCATTCTTAGCAGAAAACATTCTTCAAATATTTAAAAATAAACATTTTTCATCTTTCTATTAGATATCGTCAAAAACTAAGAGATTTATAAAATAATATTTAAAATTTATTAGGCATTAAAACTAAAAAAATATATTATCTTACATACAAGATTACGTAGTAACAAACATTAATAATGTAAAGGAAAATGAAAATTATTACACCTTATCATTTATCCTTAATAACATAAGCATAAATTAATGACGGTAAAAATACATACCAGGATCTGTAACATAAGCAATGGTGTCAGTGAGCCACTCAATAGGAGCAACGTACACAAATATTTAATTGTGAAGAAGAAGAGGTACAAATTTTTTGTTGTTTTAAAATGAGAGGAAACCCCTCTATTTGTAGACAATAAATGGTAGTGTAAATAAACGTTTATTGCGCCTTATCAGAAAGGTTATAACTATTTGGAAAAAGTTGCAACCCTTCGGAAAGGCCACAATCTTTCATAAAAGTCACAACTCTTCATTAAAGTCGCAACTTTTCATAAAAGACACAATTTTTCATAAAAGTCGCAACTCTTCATTAAAGTCACAACTTTTCATAAAAGTCACAATTTTTCATAAAAGTCACAACTTTTCATCAAAGGGGAAGACTAGTTTTGAAAATAAATAAATTAAAAGGGAATTTTGGTTTGTGGTGGCGCCACGTAGGCGGACCTAATGTTTTCTTTTATATATATACTAGTCTTCCCCTTTCATGAAATTATTCTCCTTTAGTACCCGATGTTTAATGAAATAGATCCTCTCAGGATGAAACAATTTTATTCACAATGTATTGATATAAACACAATGGTGTCAATGAGTCATTCAACAGTAGCAAAATACATAAATATTTAATTATGCACAAGAATAAGAAAAAGTTCAGAATTTTCGTTGTTTTAAAATGAGAGGAAACCCTTTATTTATAGACAACAAAGTATAGTGTGAACAAATATTTATTGTGTCTTATCAGAAAGGTCACAACTCTTTGGAAATGTCAGACTCTTTGGAAATGTCACAAATCTTCGGAAAGATCTCAAACTTTCATAAATGTTATAACATTTCATAAAAGTCACAATTTTTCATTAAAATCACAATTTTTAATAAAAGACACAATTTTTCATGAAAAGGGAAAGCTAGTTTTAGAAATAAATAAATTTTAAAAAATCTTTGTTTGTGATGGCGCCACATACGCTGGCCTAAGGTTCTCTTTTATATATATATATAGTGAGCAAATTACAATTATCAATTTACCGTATCATAAAGTATCAAAATCTCAAAAATATTAAATTAATTTAATATAATAATATAATATTTTTAGAAACGGAAAACTAAAATTATAAAATAGAAATTTTCAATAGCTACCAATACCATACTCATGCCCACCACCCTCCCGAGTTTTACTCATCGCGGAGCCATGAAATCTGTACGTTCGCAGCCACCACTGCCCCCATTATTACGCCCGCGACGATCGGCCGTACCGGATTTTCAGGGGTTAGATTTCCCAGCCGAATCGGATTCTCCGCTGGTTAGCAGCGACGACGAAAGTGATTATTGTGTATCTAATGAATCTAACAATTGCACCGACGACGAAGGTGAGGGTTATGATTCAGATCCAGAATACAATAACCAGGTTGATGAATTAGCTTACTCTGTTCCTCTTTGTTCTGAAGTAATTACACTTTGTTTGGATAGTTGTTACGTATTGGTTCATAATGTATTGTTTTGATGAATAGATTATATCATTAAGTAAGAATTGAAACAAACATTGTATTTAAACTAATGAAACAATACTATACAATAGGTAAAAACCATCCAAGCAAGTTTTAGATGCATCACCTAGTTCTCAATAATCTGTATATACATATGCCTTTACCTTGGCCGTACGGGATATTCAGGGTGTAGATTTCCCAGCCGTACTGGATTCCCTGCCGGTGAAAGAAGAAAGTGATAGCAGCAAGGACAGAAGTGAGGATTATGTATCAAATGAAGATGACAATAGCACCAACGACGAAGATAAGGATGATGTTAGTAATCAGAGGATAGTCCAGAATACGGACTATGATTTAGAACTAGAACACGATAAACCTATGTGGGAGAGCCACTTCAGACAGGTCTACGAGAGCAAGGTAGCTGACTCTATTATTTTTCCAGAAATACTTAGATGCATCGTCTAGTTCTCATGAATCTGTTATATACATATGCCTTTACCTTTGGTTTGTTGTGCTTTGGCTGCTTCTGCAGGTCTATTTTTATTCAAGTCAACTCGGTGCATTTTAGTTAATTGCCTTTTAGTTAATAGTTCGAGTTCACTACTTCTAATCACATGGTTGATGGCATTGTATAGTCAACAAGTAACCATTAGTTTGTATGACAAATGAAGAACATTCTAAGTCACTTGCCTGAAATAACTTGCTAAATAACAAGTTTTATGCAATTTAGTGATGTTTGTCTCATTGTATATTGATAGGGTTTTGATATTAAAGATTATCCTGGGCCTCCTCCGCTGCCTAACTTCTATCCCCTTCCAAGCTACTTACGTATCCGTAAAAAGTATAGAATGTTGAAGGGTTATGCTGAAAGTGCACTTAAGAGATACCATGATGATACGGTACGCTCTAGTCACTCTTGCTATCTTTCCTATCCATAAAAAAAGCTTGCTCTAATCACACTTTTCATTGTCTTCCCTTTTCCTTTTCTTTTTTTTGTTTTGTTCAGAAAGCTAAGAAAGTTCACTTGTACTCATTCTAGGGCACCAACCATGTAATTGAGGGAATTCTGACTGTGAAGAGAGGTGGCTCTCGTGACTACATTTACTATCTTATCTTTTTAGCCAAGACGGATGATGAAGAAAGATACTATTTTCAAGCTATGGTGATCCCAGATGAAGAGGATAATTTGGACTTCCTGGTCGTCAGGAAAAGGGTATATATTTAGCTACTAGACATTTTAAGATGTTGCTTCTGTGATGATTTAACATGCTTAAATTTCTAAGGTTGTCTTCAAGTATCATAACTGTGTATGTATTATAGAAGACCAGGAGTTTTTAAGTCTAATCCACCTCTATAAGATTAAGGCCAGTTATAAACATATTTACATGACGTAGGAACCAATTAGCAGCAATGGAAGGAATAAGTTTTTCTAAAAAGTCTACTACATTCTCTAGCAAACTTTATGTGGCAGCATTTGACTTGTGACACCGTTCAAGATAATAATGTGTAATTATATTGTATAAAAAATCTCATTATAGAGGTTCAAAAGTATTCCAGTTAAAGTAAAACCACATCAAAGTCCAATTTTGATTGATTTATTGATGTTAGCTTTCTACTCTATGTTGTTTGAAATGCTTTAGATAATGAAGTTTTGGTGCTGAATTTTTCAAATATATGCAAACTTATTCCTTTTTTTACTAGGTAGAGATCCACCAGTTGCTTTTTGTTGTTTGTTTATAAATTGCTCTGTTTTCTGTTTTCAAATAATCCATACGATGTAGTTTGTTGATTTTAGTGAAACAGATGAATGTTTTCGTAGAGTTATTCCCGACACTAATCAACAGTGCGTGGAACTCATATTTTACAATGTGCAATTTTCTCACCTATAACAATGAATTCTCGGTGTTGCTTTGTGTCTTTGATTATGCAGTTTTTCTTGGTTGAATTAAAGATACGCGTCATTCTTCCCTTGGTTTAATTTTGTTCTGAGAAACTGCTATGTTATTTTAAGGGAAAGAGATTGGTACTAAGAAAGGAACGTGATGATCATGTATTCTGTTAATGTGCTACGAGTGTTGTGGCTCTCCTGTTATAGCTTTAGCTTAATTGCTCATAGAATGGCTAATTTTCAGCGTTTGCAGTTTACTCACCAACTCTTATTACTTTTGTTATTGTACAGGTGAAGAGATATTGGCGCAGATGCTATTGGATGTAAATCTCACTATGTTATTTGACTTCCTTGTTCATATTTTTGTTGGGCATGTTAAAATAGTAATGGAGTGTATCTGATGTGAAAAATATGGAAACAATGAGATTTGACCTTAAATTTAAGGAAACAATGTGTTTCTCTCTTTTGCATCAATACTCTATTCAAATGGATGTGTTTCATTTACTCAAGTACTGACACCTTTTTCTTTGTAATAAGAGTAAACTTATAGAAATCGTACCAATATAGGATAATTAGTTAGATAAATGCTAGTCGATAATATTACATATTTTATCAAATTTTAGCGCGTCCAGATATATCCACATGTATTTTTAGATATATGAAATCAAAAATGTGTAATTTTCTCTAGATACATTATATCTAAATGAATTTGCATGTCCATTAAGAATGATGCAAAAGAGAGAAACACATATCTTATTAGATTTTAGCGCGTCCAGATATCACATACAAGTATCTCGAGATATATGGAGTCAAAAATAGGTGTAATTTGCTCTAGATACATTATATTTGAATGAATTTGCACGTATTTGAATACATTAACAAATTTCGCTCGCCTCTCTCTCATCTCGCTCGCCACTCTCCTATGGACAAATCTCGCCAAAACATGTATCTAGGTGTATGTGACTTGAAATCTAGTATGAAATTATTTTCATATCATTTTTCAAGAGCTAATATTAAACATTAATTAGTAGGGATAGTGTAGTAAAATACGACAAGCATTACTAAATTGAAATTTGGTATGAAATTATTCTCCATATCATTTATATGTCAAAAATAACAAATAAAAATGAAAATTTATTTTAGAATAAATAACATTCTCCATATCATTTATAAGTAAAAAGTGTCAAATAAAATTGAAAATTTATTTCAAAATAAATAAGAAGTAAAATTGGACGGAGAGTGTATGTTGTAAGTTGTAACTCTCCTTTTTGCACATCAGCGGCTGAGAGAGAAGTCATGGAACGTGTACATTTGCACCCACCGGCACCGCCACTGCCCCCATTGCTGCACCCAATGCGACGGGCCGTACCGGATTATCAGGGGCTAGATTTCCCAGTCGAATCGGATTGCTCGCCGGTTAGCAGTGACGCCGAAAGTGAGTATGACAATTGCACCGACGACGAAGGTGAGGGTTATGATTCAGAACTAGAATCCGAAAATTCTATTAGCGAGGTAGATGACTCTATTTCCTTTTCTGAAATACGTAGATGCATCACCTAGTTATCATTAATCTGTATACACGCTTACCTGGGTGTGCCGGATTTTCAGAGGGTAGACTTCCCAGACGTACTGGATGCCCCGCTGGTGAACGAAGAAATCGAAAGCATCGAGGACAAAATTGAGGAATGTGTATCTAATGAAGATGACAATAGCACCGACGACGAAGGTGAAAGTTCTGAGGGTGAGCGGGTTATATCCAGAGGATCTGACTATGATTCAGAAGTGGAATGCAATGAGCCTTTTTGGGTGACCTACTTCCAACAGGTTGATGAGAGCGAGGTAGCTTACTCTATTCTTTTTTCCCTGAGATACTTAGATGCATCATCTAGTTGCCTTTACCTTTGGTTTTGTTGTGCTTTAGCTGCTACATGACAATTTTTATACAAGTTAACTAGTTGCATCTTAGTTACTTACCTTTTAGTTAATAGTTCAAGTTTACTACTACTAATCACCTGGTTTATGTCAATGCACAATCAACAAGAAAGTATCAGTTTGTACCGCAAATAAAAAACATTCTAAGGCACTCACCTGAAATAACTAGCTATAAGTACATGTTTGATGCAATTTAATTAGTGATGTTTGTCTCATTGTATTTGATAGCGTATTGATGTTAAAAAACAATACAAAAAATATCCTGGGCGACGCCTGCTGCCCTCCTATCCCCTACGCCACTACTTACGTGATCGTAAAAAAAGAAGGATGTTGAGGGGTTATGCTGAAGGAGCACTTAAGAAATATAATGATGATAAGGTATGATCTAGTAACTCATGCTGTCTTTCTTATCCACTATTTTTTTGTGCTCTAATCACACTTTTCATTTCCTTCCCTTTTCCTTTGTTTGTATTGTTCAGAAAGCTAAGAAAGTTTGCTTGTACTCGTTGTAGGGCACAGACTATGTGTTTGAGACAGTTCGGAAGGTGAAGGGATATGGCTGTCGTGACCACATGTACTTTCTTATCTTTTTAGCCAAGATGGGTAATGGATATAGGCAGTTTTTTCAAGCTATGGTGGTCAAAGATCAAAAGGATAATGTGGACTTCCCGGTCGTCATGTCAAGGGTAGATGATTAACTTCTAGACATTTTAAGATGCTGCTTCTGATGTTATAACATGTTTAAATTTCTGACAGCAGTCTTCAAGTATCATTACTGCTTATTTGTTATAGTAGAACCAATAGTTTTATGTCTAATTCACATCTATAAGATTAAGACCGTTATAAATATATTAGCATACTTTAGGAATCAATTAACAAGTAGCAACAATGGAAGGCTTAAGTTTTTCCGACACTAATCAACAGTGTGTCGAACTAACATTTTACAATGCACAATTTTCTCACTTATAGCAATGAATTCTCAGTGTTTTGCTATGTGTTTTGAGTAAGCAGTTCATTTTCTGGTTTATTTGAGATACATGTCATTCTTCCCTTGGGTTAAATTTGTTCTGAGAAACTGCCAAATTGTTTTATAAGAGGTTAAGGTTAATGAATCATCAAAGTGTTATGTTTTAATGTGCTAGGAGTTGTGGTTACTGCTGTGAGCTTAATTGCTTAAAGAATTGCTAATTTTCAACATTTGCAGTTTACTCACCAGCTCTCATCTCTTTTGTTATAATTGTACAGGTGAAGAATTCTTGGGACTTCTGGTGACTTGAAGTCTGCATTTAAATCTCCTTTCCTAGTACTTAGCTTAACCTTGAGTATTACGTTAAATGCTATTGTGAGGATGTTTATCTGGATTACAAGTATTGTAATGTCATGTTAATAGAACTGTTCATATTTGTTTGACATATTAATTCTTCTATATATTTTTATTCGGCCAATTGAGAATCGTGTGTGTTTGCAACAAATTTTAAACATATGGAAAATAAATAAACCACACAAATAAAATCTAAAGAAACATGAATATATTGATAAATATGCGGGTACAATTATGTTCCTTCCTTGATTAAACTCGCCTAAGATTTATCCATGATTCGAGGGTCGTTAGTGGCGTATTTCTCGAACTAGAATTATTTAGATTTGACCTCTATAAGAACATTCCATCAGCTTATGAAATATTCGAGATCTTGATCTTTAAAAATACCCAAGATTTTATGGGATATTTTGAGATGCATTTAAAGGGAATTTGTACCCTTTATATAGGCGTGAACTAGGGTTTAGGGTTGAGTAGCCTCCAAGAATCCTAATTTGAGTTAAACACAATTTGTAGAGTCCCAACTCGAATTGAACACATCTTTTAGAGTCCTACAAAATTTCAATGTCTACAAATGCCCCCTGCTTCAAGGCTTGTCGGAGAATAAACTTGATGGAACTCAAAGATGAGGCTTGAAGTACTCATTCTTCCACCTTTGCAGCTTCAGATTTTCAGATTTGATTTAAGAGAGAAGAGATGAAGGGCAAATTTGGTTCCATTGGGAGTGCCAATTTGTTTGCAACAAATTTTAAAGTGACAGAAAATAAATTACAATCACAAATAAAATATGAAGAAACATAACTTTATTGATAAAGATAAATTGCGGGTACAATTATGTTCCTCCCTTGATTCTACTCTCCTAAGATTTATCCATGATTCCAGGGTCATTAGTAGCGTATTTATCAAACTATGATGATTTAGGTTTGATCTCTATATGAATATTCCATTAATTTGCGAAATATTCGAGATCTTGATCTTTAAAATACCCAAGAGTTTATGGGATATTTTGAGATGCCTTTTAAGAGAATTTAGTACCATTTATATAGGCATAAACTAGGGTTTAGAGTTGAGTAGCCTATAAGAATTCTAATTGAAACTGAACACACCTTCTAGAGTCCCAAATCGAATTGAACGTAGAGTCCTACAAAATTTCAATGTCTACAAATGCGCTCTGCTACAAGGTTTGTCGCAGTGTAGACTCGATGAAACTCAAAGACGAGGCTTGAAGTACTCATTCTTCCACCTCTGCAGCTTCAGATTATCAGATTTGATTTATGAGAGGAGATGAAGGGCGAATTTGGTCCCACTGGGCGTGCCAATTTGTTTGCAACAAATTTTAAACATATGAAAAATAAATCAACCACACAAATAAAATCTAAAGAAACATAACTTTATTGATAATTATGTGGGTACAATTTCGTTCCTCCCTTGATTCTACTCTCCTAAGATTTATCCATGATTCGAGGGCCAGGATGATTTAGATTTGACTTCTATATGAATATTTCTTTTTCTAGAATATTTGAGATCTTGATCTTTAAAAATACCCAAGAGTTTATGGGATATTTTGAAAATGCATTTAAAGGGAATTTTGTACCCTTTATATAGGCGTGAACTAGGGTTTAAGGTTGAGTAATTTCCAAGAATCCTAATTTGAGTTGAACACAATTTGTAGAGTCCCAACTCAAATTGAACACATCTTGTAGAGTCCCACAAAATTTCAAAGTCTACAATGTGTTCCAACGAGCTATATAAATCCTCATACTGATGGATATAAAATGTCGAAAACAAATCTTTAAACTTTTGTGTACCACATAATAGGATATTTGAATGCCTTGGTGACTAGTTCTATTAAATTAAAACCCAAAATTTACTCCTTACATTATGAATAAAATATCAATCTAGTCTAGACCTTATAAAATGATTTAAATAAGTGTACGAACTCTGGTAAACTTATAAAAACAAAATGTATTTAATTGTGCCATCCAATGTCATTCAAATCAGTGCTAACGCCTTGAAGCACATCTATATACCTTAGATGTGTGTTGTATCATATAGCTCAAGTCCCTAACACTGAGACTTTTTGGTTGAACAAATTCGGACATTATCATAATCAACGTCTCCTCTAACTTTTACGTTCATAAAGCATTGCACAAGATGCATTAAGACCGAAAGATGTGCTAGCAAAGAAAAAAAGTGAACCTTGACAATTGAACACACTTATTTTTGGATCCTACTTTTGTGACCGAATTCTGTAATTTTGCTATATGTGTCGTTCTATTTCGTACCTCACACTTAATATGTTGACATATAATATCTGACATACACAATGTTAACTTTCAAATTTAATTACAACTTCAGAAATTACTCTATAACGGGACAAGTTAAATCTATAACTCAACTACGGATTATTTTACCAAATCCATAGCAGCCCCACATCTTTTCGTAAGTGTTCTTTGCTAGGTAGAATTTAACTCTCCTCTCTCTTTCCCATATCCCACGATTAGCAGGGCGTGCAACTTTGGTTCAACCTTTGTTTTAATCTCCTCTTCTCTTGCCTCAAACTTTTTCTCTGTAAGGCTCATATACACTTTCTGATAAAATAGACAAACATGATAAAATACGAGAAAACACATTTAATAACTTAAATGTGACTTCATTATAGCCAAATATTACCTTCTCGGGTGGCTCATTGCCTTTGAAAATGAGGACATCCGTTTTAGTCTCCAAATTTGAAGGGTTCAATTTTTTAGTAATAATAAAATTAATATAAGTCTTTCTTAACAACACACACACACACATATATATATATATGTTAATCTTGTGGTCCTAAACATATCATGTGGAAGTTAAATTTGAAAATTGATAAAAAGGAAAGAAACATTCTTTAATGTTTCGAAACAAACTAAAAAAAGACATATATATATCTTTAGTTTAAGACCTTAGAAAAAATAAAGTTCTTTAATTAAAAGAAATAAATAACTTTGCATCTCAGAAATAAAGAAATAAAGAAATAATTAAAAATTAAACCTCCGATTACTAATTAGCTTGAGCCGCCACTGCTCTTGCATCAAGCTCTTTCTCCATAAGGCCCATATACACTTTACAATAAAATACACAACATGATACAAGAAAACACATCTAATAAAGTAACGTGACTTAATTATAACTAAATATTACCTTCTCAGAAAAACTTGGGGCATACAGCATTGTGCAGTGGATGCTGTTCAATGGCTTCTTCTATATTTTTCATTTGGTCTATCGTTAAGGCATTCTCCCTTTTTCCACGTATCGTTGAAACATTTTATTTTAATAAAGTACAAAGAATTTATATACTATAAAAAAATGTTAAAACAAATTAAACAATTAAGCTAACCACATCAACCGTTTGATAGATCCAATGTTGATAGATGTCATTTTTGGCTTCTACAATATATTTTTAGTAAGAGTGATAGAAAATAAATCAAATAATATTAACTATAGTAACTATATTTTGGCTTCTCCTAGATATTTTTAATAGGAGTAACAGAAAATACATCAAATAATATTAACTATACTAACTATATTTGCTAGATCAACACATTTATATGTATTTCTTATTCCTAATATGGATACAACAGAGATAATAATCCTATAATCCTTTACTCTTGATCATCCAACAATATACCGTGCTCTAAATAATCTAATTACAGAACCTTCCGTCAGAATAACTAAGAAATAAAAGATTTCTTAAAAGAAGAAAAGAGTAAAAATCAGATAAAAGAGAAAAAAATTAAACTTACTTGCGAGATCTGAGAGAAGAATTTTCAGACTCTTGAGTTGTGGATATAATGTCGCAGCTTATGCGTTGTGAGAAAGTTGAATTGGATTTTTAGGAATTTTTAAGGTGAAAGGAGATTTGTGAAAACTTGGTAAGAACGAAGTTGCATTTAGAGAAGAAGGAAAAATTTGAGAGCTACATTACAATGTTCATCACACCATCTATTTATATATACACACACCTTCAGATGTATCTGTAATTAACTCAGTGGAGTGAAACAATAAAATAGATTGGTACTATCTATAAACCTACAACTACATCTGTAGCTAACTTAGTGGGGCAGTGTAATGGAACAGTAGGAATAGACTGGTGTTATGGTGTCAAACAAGTGTAACCAATAGAATTTTTGGCGCCTATTTTTACTTTTTTATTTCACTCGGCGCTTCATCCAGCTGAAATATTAAGAATTAAAGACCAAATATTTATTTTCTTTTTATATTAGAATAATATTTAAAAATAAAATTTGTTTTAGGGACCAAAAAATAATCTCATTCTTATAAATATATTTTTAGAACCAGATTAATGGATTGTCGCTAAATGTTGTCTCTATTAAGCCTTTTTCTTGTAGTGATATAGAAGAATATATGCATACATGTATTTACATTGTTGAAAATAATCAAATATTTGATTTTCTTGCTCAAAATCGACGGTAAAAAAGTGGTCTAGGGTTTCAAGGAATTTGATTATAGTCAATGATTTGATTAAATAAGAATAGCCCGACCTGAATATGTATGTTGATTTGTGGGGC